AAGAAGCAGCCTGTTTTCACCCTCTCCATGATAAACATGTTTGTTGTCTTTGGCAGTGCCTGCTATGTTCAATATTCTTCTCCAGAACCACAGCTCATCAATTATTCTTCTGCAATGTTTGGTCACTGTCCAGCTCTCTGATGCATAGCAAGTAACTGTGAAGATCATGGCCTGTTTCAGGCACACCTTAGTCTCCAGACTGACATCACTGCTCTTTAGCACTTTTGAGAGCAGATTTCCCAGAGAAATTAATCTCTTGGTTTCTTGACTGCTGGTGCCAAGAGTGTTGATAGTGGAGGCTGAAACTGTTAACTTCAATCTCTTCTCCATCTATCATGGTGCTTTCAATTGGCTCAGTGGTGAGAATCTTTGTCTTCTTGATGTTGAGCTTCAATCCATACTGAAGACTGCAGTCCTTGACCTTCTGCAGTAAACATATCAGGGCATCTGCAGGTTCTGCGAGCAATGCTATATCATCTGCATCACGTAGTTTACTGATCAATCTTCCTCCAATACTGTTGCCACATGCCTCCTCATAAAGTCCAGCCTCCCAAAAGATCTGCTGTGCATACAGATTGAAAAGGTATGGAGACAGGATGTATCCCTGGCTCATTCCTTTCCCGATTTTGAACCATGAAACATCCTTACTTTGTTCTGAAAACTGCCTCCTAGTCCAAGTATAGGTTTTGCATGAGCACAACCAAGTATTCTGGAATTCCCATTCTTCTCAAGGTTAGCCACAATTTGTCATGATCCACAGTCAAATACCTTTGCATAGTCAATGAAGCACAGATAGACGTTCCTCTCATACTTTCTGCTTTCAGCCAAACAAGATAATGATGATAATGTCTCTGGTGCCTGCAGTTCCAATAGTTCTCTGTTGATATACTGTTCCAGTCCTTTTTGGATAATCTTCAGCAAGTTCTTGCTTGCATGCAGTAGTAGATCAGCGATAGTTTGATAAACTTGGGAATACTCTTTACTGATCACTAGGGGGCAATGTAGACAGAACATAGCTCGGTTGTTGGCCCATAAACAGCCCAGGAGGTTGGGAGAAAGTTGGGTACCAAAACACAACAGTAGACATACTGTTCGTATAAATTCGCTCAAAGTCTAGGTTTTAGACTACAATAGTGGCCTACTGTCAGGTGGCCAACTGAAATGTTGGCCGTTCAAATCCACCAGTCTCTTGTAGTGTCCTCCCTTAAAGATTATCAGTGTTTAAAACCTGATGGAAGGTTGCTAGGAGTCGAAATCGTCTCCATCTGCGTTAAAGTCTAAGTTGTGGATGTACCTTCTAGAACAGGTAAGGCAGGAGGTTAAAAAATGCTTCTCCAGTAATTCCTTCCCCACCTGCCAGTTCCACCTTTCCTGTCCAAATCCTCAATCACGTCTCTATTCACATCAAGCTCATTCTTCCAATAAATGCAGATCAGACGCTCAAGTGCTTGCCTTCAGGTAAACACAAAGGACAGAAAAAAACAAGTTCACCAATGGTCAAACCATTTTCTACCAAAAGATAACCTATAGGGTTAGATATAAACAGTACTCCAAATTCAACTAAGATATATTACACTAACAATTTAACTTCAGCAAAAGTTCACATTTGGTGCATGTTATAAAACATGTGTCCAGCACAGTCAACAGAGGGTCTACACCACTGAATCACTTAAATTTAGGCAGCTCCGCCATGTTTCAGGGGCATAGTCCCCTTAGGAGATGCTCTGGGGTGAAAGAGCACACAAATCTGCTATGAAGTTATCATTAAAGTGTTAAACAGCAACGATGTCATTTTGAGGACTAAGGCACGCCTGACTGAAGCGTATTTTCAACTGTTTCATATTGTGTGAAAGCTGGACAATAAATAAGGAAGACTGTAAAAAGACTGATGCCTTTGAATTATGGTGTTGGTGAAGAATATTGAATATATTGTGGACTGCCAGAAGAATAAATAAATCTTTCTTGGAAGAAGAGAAGCTAGACGTTTCATAGAAGCAAGGATGGAGAACTTTGTCTTATATACTTTGGACCTGTTAGCAAGACGAATCAGTCTTGGGAGAAGGGCATCAGGCTTGGTGAAGTGAAAGGACATCTAAAAAAAAAGCCCCTCAGCACGATGGATTGACATAGGAGCAGCAACAATGGGCTAAAATACAGCAGCGTTTATAAGGATGGTGCAGAACCAGACAGAGTTTTGTGTTGTACACAGCAGTACTGGGAGTAGGACCCAACCCAGTGGCACTTAAGAATAACAACAATAGCATTATCTCTGCTCTAGTTTCTTTTCTTTGCTCTTACTCTATCAGAGATGAAAACGTGATTACCTGTTTGTGAATTTTGTCACCTTCTTTGGATTCTACTCATCAAGGGCAGAGACCTCCTCTTACTCATTCTGTGGCTTTGTTGCCTAGCACAGGGCCAGATACACTGGTACACTGGCACCAAGGATCGTGGCTAGAAGAGACCGGTCCTTGGAGAAGGACTTCATGCTCGGAAGGGTGGATGGACAGAGCAGGAGAGGGAGACCCTGGATGAGATGGATTGATACGCTGTCTGGGGCAATGGGGGTTGGTGTGTCAGAATTAGTGAGACTGACTCAGGACAGGCCAGGGTTCAGAGCTGCTGTACACAAGGTCACTATGCATTGCAGGTGACTCAACCACTAACATTCTATGGCATGTTTGGAAGCAGGAGTGGCATCTACTTCCTCAACAACTTGTCTCCGGAAACTTTGATAAATGTCAATAGTTGTAGAGGGGCTTCAGGCCTTTTGATCATTGGGTCGCTATGAGTTGTGCTCGTCTTGAAGGCAATCAACAACAATGCAAAGGTGACCTAAAAGAAGGTGAGCGTAGAACCTAGAAGTATCAGTTTAGGAAGAGCTGCCTTACCTGAAAAAGTGAAAATAGCCAAGCAGACAGACCTATCAATGTTTAAAGCCAAACCCATCTTATGAAATGAAATTCATTTTGGGTCATGAGGTTTTCAGTAATAATAAAAAGGATTACATATGTGGAAGAAAGAATGAAAGGATCTCAGGGCTCCAAGGGCTTTGAAAAAACCCTCTGGTCCCAGAGCAAACCAGGCACAGAGGTAAGGATATGAATGCCCTCTCATAGTGAGGTTTTCAAGCTAAGGTCTCAGATGTTAAATCCTAGATTATCAAGTCAAGCTTATTCAACTCTTTCTTCTGTAGAGAGAGAGAGGAAAAAAAAAAGGACTGTTGTTGTTAGGTGGCATGGGTCAACTACAACTCATAGCGACCCTATGAACAACTGGTCTGAACCCTTCCCTCTCCTGTGCCATCTCATCAACTGGCATCCTTGAGCCCCTGTTCCAATCACTTTGTCAATCCATCTCACTGAGAGTCTTTCCCTCCTTTGCTAACTTTCCCCCAGCATAATGTCCTTTCCCTAGGACCGGCCCCTCTTAACAACAGGTCCAAAGAATGTGAGATGTTTCCTTAGCTTCCAAGCAGCATCCTGTTTTTTCTCTTAGCAGTCTGTGTAGGATATTCAGAACTCCTCAACACCACAACTCAAAGGCATCAATTCTTCTTTCAACATCCTTATTCACTGTCCAACTTTCTGATGCATAGCAAGTAATAGCCCTGCAGAAGTGCTGATTGGTTAGAGAATTGTCAGCTCTGGGGGCCTCAGTTTGCAAAATAAGGATACTTATTTCAGTCAGTGACAATACACTCAGGTTTACACCTATTGTCCCTAGTTGATTTATCAACAGCATTCTTCTCAGTTCTGGCTTGGCTGCTGAAAAGGGTAGGTCATTCTAGGTATTATAATTGGCTGAAAAAAAAGGGTGACCCTCCCATCCTAGGAAGGGGGTGAAGAACAGCGATTTCATTAGGCTGTGAACACCCAGCTTCTGCTGGGCTTAGCATCTAGAGAGGTCTATTTTAGGACTACTAGGTGGGACTCTTTACTGAGTTTCAACCACTTCCTGAAGAACGGGGTCTAGGTGAGAGGAACCAAGGGCTGAGGGGTGCGAGTGAGGGTGTGTTTCTCACCCAGCTCTTTGCTGTCTTCCTGACCTTCGGAAACCATCTAAGTCAAGAGAGCATTTAGTTTCCTTATCTGTAAATGATGATAATGTTACTCTAACAGCAGCCACTACTGTTGAAGATTATAAACAAAGGTTATGGGAGGGCACCTCAAAGCTCCTAACTATGACAGGTACCACGCCTGAGCCAGGTACTCAAGTAACTGATTTAGAGATGAGAAAACAGGTTCTCAAAGAACTTGTACAACGCATAAACGGCTGGGGTAAACGGATTCCTGAAAGAAAGACCCAAAAGCCGTACTCTACCAACATGCATAAAGTATACATTTAGCAAAAAGAAGCAGCTGCGTCTGTCCTGCTCCCCTTTCAGACTCTAAATCCAGCCCTTTTTGTCACCAAGCACAGCACCACAGAGACCTAAGGTTCAAGAGGAACAAACACAACAAAGGGCGGGCGGGGGGGGGGGTGTTGGGGAAATCAGCAGACGTCCTGCAAACCAAAATTACTGAACCCCAGCAGATCATCACGGGATAGTGTTTGGTTCCCTTCTCCCTTCATCCCGGGAAACTGGTGATCTTTTAGACGTGTCCCCTTTACAGGGAGGAAAACGTGGAGCCCCCTCGTCTAGCCAAGCGCTTACGTAAGGCCAACTGGCGGCTGCGCCCCGATCTCCCGTGGGTGTGCGCAGAGCCCCTGACCCGGGGCGGGCCTCCCTCTTCTCCACTCCCCCGCCTCTCCACCAGGGAGGCCCAAGACCACCGGCCCAGGGTCAGCAGGGTTACCCCGGGGCAGCGGTGTCCGCGTTGGGCAGCGGCGTGCTCCTGCAGTCACCCAGCTTCCCGGGGGAGGAGCAGCGCATCGCGCAAGCATCCGGGAGCGGCGAAAGGGGCGGGAGGAAGGGCGAGAGGAGGAAGCGGGATTTAAACGAAAGGCGGTGACGCCACACAAAAGATTTCTATAGGCTCCAGGGAGGTTACGGCCGAGCGGCGGCGAGCCCGGGGGCGAGGCGCGGACGGGAAGAGGAAAAGCCTCCAGGAGCACCGGCAGGCGGGCGCACCCACGGCCGCACTCCGAGGTGAAGCGGGGAGAGGAAGCGGGTGTTTTCCCCTCTTCATTTTGGCCCCCGCCCTTCCTTTCAGTTTCTCCCCGCTCGCTCGGAAGTTGGTGATTGACAAAAATGGCAGGAGCCGGGGCACGGGCGGGTTGCCGCAGCGCCGCGGGGACCATCTGAGTTGGCGTGGCTGCTGGGAGACGCTCGCGGGGCATCCGATGCGTGGGTCTGGGGGCCTCGGGAGAGCTCAGCCGCCGCTGGTCCGAGACAAGGAGGCGACGGGGATGGACTCGTGCCTACTGCAAGTGGCGGGTCGCGGGGCGCGCGGACCGGGAGGGCGTGCCGCCTGGGCGCCGGGCCGCGCTCTGTGAACTGCGAGGCGGGAAGGGACCGCCGCGGCGCCCGGCACGCCCGGGTGTGGCAGGCGGCCGAGCAAGCGGGGCGGCCGCCGTGTGCAATCAGTGCAAGCTCCCGCCCGACTCGGACTCTCCGCGCCAGTGCCGGCCACACCCTCGGCCCTGCAGCCGCCGCCGGCGCCGCTTCCCGGGAGCGCGGGGCAGGAGATGCGCCCTGAGCGACTGCGCGTCCCCAAGCGCCAACCTGGGCTGCCGTCGCAGAGAAGCGCCACTCGGCGGGATCACGGCGCCTGAAAGCCCACGTGCTCCACCAAACCGAGGTGGCCTCGAGCGCCGCAGCTGACAGCAGAGCCCGCCCGAGCCGCCACCCGTGCTCCTCCCGGAGGAAAGGAGTTTGATTTTCAAAGAAAGAAAGGAAGGAAGGAAGGACAACTCCCAGCTTCCCCGTCCCGCCCTTTCGGCTCCGGCGGCCTGGCCGGGCCATGCCCAGGAAGGAGGCGGTGGCCCAGCCGAGGGGACTTTTCTGGCAGCCCGGCGACGAGGAGCGCGGACTGTGAGTTTGCCCTGCCCTGGTTCATGCTTCCAGCAAGCCCTCGGAGAGGCCGGACTCCGCAGCCCCGCCCCGTGCCCCGAGGAGCCTCCTGCGTTTTCTGGCCGTCGCTCCCGCCCCGCGCCGCCCGGGTTCTGGCCGCCGCAACCCTGTGCCCTCCGCCCGCGGCGGTGGATGGCATGATGGTTCGGGAAAGGTACCGCGGCCTTGGCCTGAACAGTCGCGACGGCTGCGGGGGCGGCAGTGGCAGTGGCAGTGGCGGCGGTAGCGGGCTCCCCAGCGGCATGCCAGTGCCCCTCGGGCGTGATGGCTAGCGGCAGCGCTGGGAAGCCCACCTGCGAGGCGGCTTCTCCGGCTCCAGTGAGCACCGTCGGCGGGGCCAGCTCGCAGACGAGGAAGAGGCTGGTGTCAGTGTGTGACCACTGCAAGAGCAAAATGCAGCTGGTGGCTGACCTGCTGCTGCTGTCCAGCGAGGCTCGTCCTGTGCTCTTCGAGGGCCTCGTCTCCAATGCCGGCGCCGAGTCCTTCGAGCAGTGTCGGGACACCATCATCGCGCGCACCAAAGGTCTCTCCATCCTCACGCACGATGTGCAGAGCCAGCTCAACATGGGTCGCTTCGGAGAGGCCGGGGACAGTCTGGTAGAGCTGGGTGACCTAGTGGTGTCACTGACCGAGTGCTCCGCGCATGCCGCTTACCTGGCTGCAGTGGCCACGCCAGGCGCGCAGCCTGCACAACCGGGTTTGGTGGACCGCTACCGGGTGACACGCTGCCGCCACGAGGTGGAACAAGGCTGCACACTGCTTCGAGCCACGCCACTGGCCGACATGACACCGCAGCTGCTGTTGGAGGTGTCCCAGGGCCTGTCGCGCAACCTCAAGTTCCTGACGGACGCGTGCGCCTTGGCCAGCGACAAGTCCCGGGACCGATTTTCACGCGAGCAGTTCAAGCTGGGCGTCAAATGTATGAGCACGAGCGCATCAGCGCTGCTGGCCTGCGTACGCGAGGTGAAGGCAGCGCCCAGCGAGCTGGCGCGCAGCCGCTGTGCGCTCTTCAGTGGGCCGCTGGTGCAGGCTGTGAGCGCCCTGGTGGGCTTCGCCACCGAACCGCAGTTCCTGGGTCGCGCTGCAGCCGTGAGCGCCGAGGGCAAGGCGGTGCAGACCGCTATCCTGGGCGGTGCCATGAGCGTGGTGTCAGCCTGTGTGCTCCTGACCCAGTGCCTCAGGGATCTGGCGCAGCACCCGGAAGGGAGCGCCAAGATGTCGGACCACAGGGAGAGGCTGAGGAACTCGGCCTGCGCCGTGTCTGAAGGCTGCACCCTGCTATCTCAGGCTTTAAGGGAGAGGTCTTCACCCAGGACTTTACCGCCAGTGAATTCCAATTCTGTGAATTAGCACCCCTCTCCAAACCCTTACTTCCACCCCAGACTAAAGGAAGATATGCATTCTCTGCCCCCTCTCCATTTATACCAAAGAAATCATAGGTGAAGTCCCCTTTTCCTCTCCCTGATAAATGCTTGAGAGGCATCTTCTAAAAGGCAGGGCCTTGCACACCACTTAGACACTCTGAGGCCCCAGGTGTCCACCAGATCATCATACACAGTTGAGGTTGGGAGATAGAAGATGTATAAATGTATTCACCCCCACCCCAACCCGTCTACCAGAATTTCACAACCACGTTTTATTAATTGGGCAGGAAGGAGGTCATGGGTTCATTCGTTTTATTTTGTTTTGTTCCTCCCCCCCTCTATTAAAAAAAAGGTTACCTCAGTTTTCACTCTTTAGACATGGATGTAGCTACCTTTTTTTGTATGATTTTTTTTTTTAAGCAATCATTGGATTAGGAGTATAATTGGTGTGGAAAGAGTATGACTTTGCCATGTGATTTACAAATGGGCAAGCTACTGTGAGCGTGTGTTTTATTTTTTAATTTACACTATAGAGAGTGATCTCTTCCCCTTCAGTGTCAAGTTTTTACCTTGCATGTACTGGAGTATTTATTTCATCTATTAAAATGTTATGTTTCTCAGATGACTTTTTGCAATTATTGTGGATTTTCAATAATTGTAATTTTGCATGCTGCCTGTCATCCGCAGAAAGGAATTTGTCATCTGGGTAGCTGTGAGCTATAGTTTTTGTAAACCTGGTCGTCCCACCCTTTTCTACTTTTTCTTCAGTGTACCCCTTGAGCTGTCTAGAAAAGAGGGCCGATTGTAAAAGCAGGTGACATGCACACAGTTGGATCATGTATAGTGATGAGAACCTGGGCAATTCATGGGGGCTTTTGTCTTTTTTTCTAGTTTCTTAGGGCAAGTAGTTTAGCTCCTTTTGTTTCCACTCATTTCTCTGTTTTAAGGCTCAGTGGCTCAGGCTGAGAGGTCTGATATGCACTGTCTTTTTCAGATTAAGGCTCTTTCTAATCCTGCATGGCATCCCAGACTAGGGGATCTATGTAAAAAAGTGCAGAAGTACTGTAGTACATCAAGTAGTAATAATTAGCATCTGCTGTATAGAGAGGGATGTTCATGCAAGATTACTCATAAATATAGAAGAAAAAAAGGGACAGGAGATTCCAGACTGAAGGGGAGTTTTGCAAAGTATACTAAGAATTTTCTAGAGCAACAGTGTAATTTTAGGCAAAATTGTGACTTTCATTGAAGATAGACCTTGTTGATTATATATTGAAGGAATGCTTTGTTAATTGAAATTTAGAGTTACAGTGTAGTTTGTCTACTCCACAGATATTTTAAGAAATTTTAGAGGTACATTGTTTTGCTGAACATGGTTAAATTTTGATCACTTTTACCACTAAAGACCAACAGATGTGATTTGATGTGATATTACAATGCTTATACCAAAAGCCACATTCATGCTTTAAATTTGCCCAGTTTACATTTTTCTCGAGATTCATGGTGCCTAAAATGTTGCAGCTCCCACAGATCTGAAAAACAAAATCCCTTTCTCCATTACAGATCAAAAAATCATATTAATTGTTTACTTAATGGCTGTATATGTTAGAAGAATGTCAAGTTTAACATGCAAAACATTTTAAAACCTGTGTTAGGTAAGGCTGGAACTGTTTAACTGCCTGAATTAAAAATTTGTAGGACTCTTGTATAAGTAGTTTCTAAAAGTCAGAGGGCACAGCTGTTTATCTTAGGTTCTGATAGTGTTAAATTTTTAGTCTTTAAAAGATGAACATGACCTTGAGGGTGGATGTTTGTTCCTCTCCTGTCTCTCTTTAAAGTTCTGTCAGGTTCCGGAACTGCTAGGGAGGAGTGAATGAGAACCAAAGTCCAATTCATATGCCAGTAACATTTCTGAATGTGTATAGGAAATTTTATTTTCTTTATTTATTGAAACTACACCATTAATGGTAGAATTTGTAATTACATGGTTCATTTAGCCTATGCAGATCATAAATAATAAACCACCAGGACACTATCCTGTGGCGTTTCCAAGGCTGTAAATCTTCATGAAGGCAGATTGCCACATCTTTCTTCCACAGAGTGGCCAACGGGTTGGAATTTTGGTTAGTAGCCAAGTGCTTTAATCCTGGTACCACCAGGGCTCCTCTGCAGGGAACTAACACAAAGTAAAATAAAATGAGAGCCAGCAATTTGTGAATTTGGTATTTGATTAAGAAAAAGAGAATTGCCAATTTTTCCTTGGACATGTTCCTTGCAGAAGCAATTTCCAGGATAACTTGAGCTAAAACAAAACAAAAATCCAACACCAAGAAACTGCACTCTCCCTATCTGCTTAGATGACGTTAACTAGCTAGTCACCAAATTAATTTTAAAACTTTTTTTTCTCTTAGCTGAATAATAGTTGCTTTCATATTTCTATATATGATAAAGTTTTGTTTTATATTAGAAGTTTCTGTCCTCTTATTCAAGTTTCCAAACGTGAAGAAATAAGAGATTTTAACCTCTTTTCCCCCATCCCTCCCTAAACAATGACATTTAGGATTTCTCTTCCAGCAGGTGGCATGGAATAAATTCTGTTGGGTTTTTGGTTTTTGGTTTTGGGGTTTTGTTTTTTTTTTACAGCCACATACAGGAAACCAGAATGAGGAACTCATAGTAATTCTGTGTCTCCTTTGCTTGGGTAGGCATGGATTTAGGCACAGGTCTTTGATAATATCTTTGACAAAAATGTCTTTGATAATTTACTTCAGATGTACCTAGTTAAGAGCTTAGCTACTCACCAGAAAGTGTTCCTGTGAAGATTGCAGTTTATATGCTAGAGGGCAGTCGGCCCCACCCTGTGGGTCACTCCAAGTGGGAGCCAACTGGATGATACCCAGCAATATCTCAGGATGCTATACTTGTTTCTGAAACACTTTTGGGTTTTGAAAAGGAGGCTCTTAAACCTTAAAAGGAGGTTTAATAAGGTCAGGAGAGACAGTGATGCCAGGAATAAGATCAGGGTGGCCTGATTTTTTTTAAACTTTTTTTTTTTTTATTAAGGCACACTAGAGTTCATTTAAGACATCCATCTTTGGTCCCTTCTGACTTCTGAGGGCACGTTTTCCTACCCAGTCCTAATGCATGCTGTCCTAACCCTGGGATATTGAGTATCTTCCTCCTTTGAATAGTTGAGAAAGGAAATCATTATGAGTAAGCCATTATTTATGACAGCAAACCCAACTGACTGAGAAAACCAGGCTTTCACACAAGATTTAACAAGATAAAAAGCATAGTGCTGTCTTTTCTTGGCTTTGAAGCTTGGGGTTTCTCTTACTCATTTTGAGTCGATGTTAGAAATTAGAGCTCCACTTTGGAAATCCAGGAAGAGGGGGAAATACATGTATATGTTTATGCTCCGCAGCCCCTGTATCCCTGCCTTTTCCTAATTCAGACTCAAGTTCTAAAGTGTTTTATGATTCTGGAAGCATCTGGTAACATCTGACTGGTTATTTCACAAGTTTGCTTGCTTCCCCCCCTTCTCTCTTAAATTGGCAGAGACCTACTAAAGTATTTGGCAATTTGAGATAGCTAATTTTAACAGAAGCACCTGTTTCTCAGAATGAATGTGACTATGGTAACTTGCAGATCAGCCAGATGATTTGAAAAGTGACTATCAGGAGTCCTTTATAAGCCAGGCTTAGGATTTGGAGAAGAAAAACATAAAGCCTTAGGAGACATCCTCCCGTGGGTCCCAGCAACTGGAATAGCTCAGAATGAGGTGGTCTCCAGGTTTCCTTCTAGGCAGACTCTTGCTTTGAGGTTTTTTGTTTGGTTTTTGTTGTTTGTTTTTTTTAAAGAATCTTATGAAATGAATTGGCTCAATTTACCCATGTCGGGTTTTCACTGTGTCCTTTAGTGCCTGGCACACGGGAGATGGTTGTCTCAAGTGTGTGTGTGCAGTGCAGGCAACAAATCCTCATAAGCAAGTAGTGAAGTCGTTCCTGGAAATGACAGCTATAATAACCATTCATTCAGCAGACATTTCCTGGGGGCCGTGTGCCAGGAGTTCTTGGGTGGCACAGTAGTTAAGTGGTTCAAGGTCAGTCCCACACAGAGGGACCTCAGAAGGCAGGCTTGGTGATCTGCTGCTGAGAAGTGATAGTGTTGAAGTCCCTGTGGCATGAACGGCTGGTCTGCACACATGGAGTCACCAGGAGCCATAAAAGTCTAAGCAACTAAGAACTGCTAGAGTTTCTGGGTGGGATGAATGTTGAATGTGCTTGGCTGCTACTTAGAAGGTTGGAAGTGCATACCCACTCAGATGTGCAGCGAAAGAAAGGCCTGCTAGTGGTCTATTTCTGAAAAAAAATGAGCTATTAAAATCCCTATGGCATATACACTTAGCTCCTGACACACCTGGGATCACAGTGAATTGACATGGACTCAACCTCAACAACACCTGGTTTTAACTTTCGCACTGTACGGGTCATGGGACACATCATTGGGTGGAACGTGGCTCGTGTCTTCACCAAGGTTGGGTTCTAGACCCAGTGGGCCACAGTGTCATCTGAGAGCTTGTTGGAAACCCTGACTCCAAGCCTCTTTTAGCAGAAACTCGAGGTGGAGCCGTGAGCTGTCATCAGTCCCTTCCAGGTGATTCTGATGCATGCTGAAATTGGAGAAAACGCTGGAATACATGGTTACTGGCTTATTTTTTATCTCCTGGCATCTCTTAAAGTTAGAAGGCACAGTGTGTGCAAGTTCCTTCCTTGCCCAGGCAGGCCCTCTCCCCATTTGCTTGTTAGATACCCTAGAATTGGCTCCAACCCATAGTGACCCTATGTATAACAGCAAGACCGCCCACTCCTGCTGCATCCTCAAAATTGTTGATGTTTTTGAGTCCATGGTTACAGCCACTGTATCAGTCATCTCGTTGAGCACCTTCCTCTTTTTTGGTTAATCCTCCACCAAGCACGATGTTCCATCTGGGGCCTGCTCCCTCATTACATGACCAAAGTATAGGAAATGAACTCTGACCTTCCTTTTTTCTAAGGCTGCACTTCCAAAACAGATTTCTTTCTTTCTGTCCACACTATGGCCAACATTCTTTGCCAGCACCATAATTCAAATGTATCAATTCATCATTAAGCGTCTTTATTCCTTGTCCCACTTTTACTATCATATAACACTGTATGGTGTACCTTAGTCTTCAAAGTAACATCTTTTTAATGCTTTAAAAAGGCTTGCAACAAATTTGCCTAATGCAATTATTGACTGTTGCTTCCATGGGTGTTGATTGTGGATCCTTGGTAACTTTAGTATTTGCTCTGTTTGTCCGAGAGTGCTTCATTGGTTCAGTTGTGATGCTTTGTGTTCTTTGGGGTGAGTTTATTCCATGCTGAAAGCAGCAGTCTTTGATCTTTATTAGTAATTGCTTCAAGGCAAGGGAGGTTGTGTGATCTATCATGAGTCTTCCTTCAGACTTGATGCTGCATTCTTCACATTGTCCATTTTCTCAAATTATTTGCTCATCATACAGATTGATTTAATATGTTGACCAGCTATAACCTTGACACACACCTTTCCAGATTTTAAACTGTAAAGGATCCTCTAGTTTTT